AGAACGGTCTTGCTGACTTATATTTATTATTCACTAGCCTCCAGGCATTTCACATGATCTCATAGAAGCTAGATCAGGTTGGGTCATGAATAGATGCTTGCTTTTTAAATCTACTTAACTCTATAAACAAAGCCAAAGGAACTGAATGGGAGCAGACTCTGGGGTCGGCACAGGACAGGTTTACAATCCATCAGTGCTAACATTTTTTAAACTATCTAAATGCTGTTAGAGCAGCCAGCATTTTGTGAGGTCTCTGACACAACACTACAGGAGTTACCAAGGAAATTACTTCCCAAGTAGAGAAAGCGGAGGAAAGTTTTCACTGTCTGTTGGACGTATCAGGAGAAAATTACAATCATGGACTTTATGGGAGACCTAAGAGGAAGAGATGAAAAAAGTCTAAAATTATGAAGTTGCTCTTTGCCTCTAATTAAAAACATTGACTGCTACCGCCTACTGGAAAACTGTACATCTTGACTGTGAAAGAGAAGGCAGAAGAAATTATCAATTGGTCCAGACTGGCACTAAAAAGTATGTAGAATACTTATTGGCATATAAACTTTCACTGATAACTTTCTCCCCTCATTATCTGTTCAATTTTTCTTGAATGAATATGTACAGTATCACACACTACATGCAGAGATTTAACACATTTTGATATGTCCTATGTAAGAAAGAGTCCATGGAAGTCTTGCATGTCCTATGGAAGAAAGAGTCTTTTTGAGCTGTGACATAGATCAAAAGACAAACAGCATAATGTAAACCTAATTCTAACAGGGCTGTAATCCCAATTAAATGGAAGCTGAACTTCCATTGTGATGTGGACAACTGTAATGATACCCGAATGGGATATACTGCTAGCAATAGTGACTAGACTGTTTTTCAGACAGTGGATGATTTCTTGCTAATGAACAGTAGTGCAAATCTGTTTATAGCACAGTTATCTAAGCTTGAGAGAAATAAAAAATGACATGTACACAAGCTCTTCTAAGACCCAATATAGCAAGCTTCTATACTGGGTTTATAAAAATCTTAAATAAAAGTTCAGGTATTTGCTTCTACTTTTCTTCCAACCTGCCCAATTTCAATACATTCAAGTATGGCCACAGCAGTTTCCTTTTCATACTCCCATGGTCATATTTCCTCTAGCTACAACCTCAATTATCTCGTCCACTTACAATGAAGAAGGCTTTCTGTGTGTGCATTTAACAGATTTTCAAAAGCGCAACTGGAAGGCAAAGTCTGAATTACTGTGCACTCACAGTCAGTTGCACAGATATTGTACACTGTCCTGGTAACCACAGCTTTAACTAGTCATGCTTAAACTGCATTAAAAAAAATATAAAAAATAGAAAAGTCATTATGCCAAAGACCGTAGGAAAGATTTGAGGTCTGTCTTTCCTATGAAAACTTCAGAGTATACTACACTCCTGACAGTCATTCTACTTGACTCATAAACCTAAATAAGAGTTTAATTTTAGGTGTCTATTCTCTTATTAGCCTAGGTTTTTACTGTTTTAGCGGAGAGATGCTAAGGGCTACACTTACGTCATATGCAGCTTACAATGTTTTTAATTTTACAAAATGTGAACATAATTCGTCACTGGTAATTACAAATAAACAAAGCTGATTTATGTTGGTTCTAAGACTTTTGTTCTACCTTAATTTTAGTAGAAATATTTGTTATGGATTGACTATAACCCTTCTCCAGACAGAAATAACCTGTTTGTTCACTTTACTAGCTAAATTTCCAGTGGGCAGTGCTTCCACTGAAAGTCTAAAAAGGAAGGTAACATTCTAAAATCTGTAAAATGGCAATCTCATCAAATACCTGTCATAGTGTTTTATACGTACATAAAAACCTCTCAAATGAAACTGGCAACAATATTTTCCTCCCAGTCTGCTGACAAAGTGAAACCCTTATCAGATGGTCACACCTTAACTTTGATACTGTACAACTGCTGTTTTATTCTGACTTCCCTAAAAATCTCCTTTTCATTAGTGTGTGGAGAAGGATACAGGGAAGTGAAAATTAGCAATATGTGAAACAAACTGCTCAGGTTTTTATTCAAATGTTAAGCTATTACTTTTAAGTTGGACCTATGACATCTGTGTAGCACAAGGTCTACATCATGAGACAACAATCATCTTTCCTATGGATTGTAATTCCTATGCATTCCAACAGGTGTATTACAAATAATGTACTTCCTATGCATTCCAACAGGTGTATTACAAATAATGTACTTTGCTAAATAGCTTTTCCCTCAGTGCACTTTTTAGGGAAGACAAAAGTTAACAGAAACTTTCCATTGAAACTGGAACTCTTTTCGGAAGTATTTGGCTAACAGGCGAATGGTCATGTTCCAGCTAGTCTAATGAAGGATTTAGTTTCAGTTCTTGAAAGAGTCTGAAGAACATGTTTAATCAATTCATAATAGGTCTGACCTTGCATATTTCTAACACAGATAATACCTCAGAAGTACAATAATGAGACAATTTGCCCTTGTTCCCCTGTAAGTTTTAGACGGCTATGTTCAGTGGAAGATCATGAAGGGAATACCTTACATCTAATTCTCTGTGGTATAAAAGATTAAAAGATAAACAAACAAAAAAATTAAGGTGGACTAGTCTATGTATATCAAAACAACTTAATTCAGATTCTGATGTAGCTCACTCAGACACTGCATTTCTCATTCAGCCTCTGCAAAAGCCCCTGGTACTGCAGTTGGCTTAACAGAGCTGAATAAAGACTTGTTAACCTTCAGGGCTGCTATAACGTTGGCCTTCCAGCCTGTCTGGGTGTGATTAATGTTCCATCACCTTTTGCCAGCAAGTACATAAAGTTTCTAGAATGTTTTGTGCTTTCAGCAAATGTTTGCTGAGGGGAGCAGCTCATCCTTAATTTTGACAGAGTTGTTCTAAATAGTGAAAAGGGAAAAATTACAGTGCTCTGCAACCAAACATATAACATTGGTCTTATCACAACTTCTTTACAAAGAAGGATTATTTCATAAACTGTACACTTCTGAAATTTTAGGCCTGCATACTGTACAATGCCAGAGGCTTTCAATGATAATTTATTTCTTGCACTTCAAAGACAGAATTGAGGAAGATGCAAAACTCTGAGGAACCAGCCCAAGAGCAGGATTCAGACAGCAAAGGCGATAAAGCAGCTGGTTTGCATTCTAGGAAGCTAACAATAAGATAAACAAATCTTTTATTTTGTAATGGGTAGTCTCCACAAAAACAAGGAAAGAAAAGTCACTGTGTCAGAGTGTAAAGGCAGAACACAGCAAAGTTTAGAAATCAACAGGGTTGCAGAACAACAGAAAAAAAGATAAAGGGATCCTATAGAACTAATTCATCACCATATATTAGTATAGAAAATATTTGCAACAATCTAAAGTGGTGTTTAGGTAAGCCATATTTCATGTAGGGTCTGATAAGTACCTCTATTTCTTGCATACTGTTTAACAGAAATGATTGCATGAAACATAAATTCATATTAGGTTGGAGAGACTTTATCCATCAGTGTGCATACTTATTTCAGAGCTATTTCAAGAAATTCTCAGACTTACATTTTCTTAATGACATTGAATTTATTTTGAAATATTTATTACACTTCTATTTGGCACTTACTTAGGTCCATATCCTTGGAATTTAGAAAACTATCTGCAAATGCAAACATCATAGTTCAGTTTACCTGTGGTGAGGAGGACACCTTAGGAAAGAGCAGTGAGTATTTATTATTGACTGATCAGGGGCATGTAATTCAAAATTTCCAAGCTACTGAGAGAGAACCAGAATCTGGGAAATTTCCTCTAGTTTCAATGTCAGTTGTTTTTAAATGGCATTTTAGATCAGGTTTTTGTATCCAAAACAGTCTGTTCAGTACTGCTGCGAGACACTGCAGTGCTGCTAGTCAAAATACTTTTCCTGGGATGCCCTTTTGTTAACACAGTGTTACAGAGATAGACACATCCTAGGCCCCTATTATGAAAATCCTACAGCAATGGGGGTCTTTAATATACCCATAATCCCAGAGGATTAGGATAGGATCTGAGGACACCAGGGCAGTGATCATGACACAGCAAAGCATGCAGCCAACTGCAGAAGCACAGGAAAGAAAAGGTGTGTATTGCTTTTGTGGTGACTCAGGTTGTACACAAACAAATGGGGCATTCAGCTCTTCCAAAACTTTATCCACCATGGTCAAGATTTCTAACCCTAAACTTTAACAGTAGTACTTTGAAAGAAAACAAATTCCAACACTAACCTACAGTTTTTCAGGTGTTCAGGGCATGTATCTACTCAGATAATAGTTAAATTGTTTGCTACCACTATATATATGATTCTATGATTCTATGATTATATATATATATATATGCATTTTGAGAAACAACAGCCAGGATAAAATAGTTAGCACTGGACCATAATTTCATTTAACAAATAGCAACATACAGAGTTACTAATTTTAGTGCATAATATGAAAATGCCTTGGCTTCACTCAATATTTTATGATTCTTTAAAAGGCAAAGACAATACAGATTTTTTTTTTATACTTAGTGTATTAAGCTAGTAAAATAAAAGGTCTGCAAGCTTTTCCAGAATATGAAACACCTTAGTTGTCATAACACTAGTAAATGGCATAGACATTCTCTTTTAGCCAACCTCTTAGTAGATGAGCATAGATTTCTAAACTTAAAATATATTAAGAATAACCTTTGTCTAAGTACTAGATTGATCTCAAAGGACACCTAACACAAGAAAAGCAACATGATTATTACAAACCTCATTTACAAACTTGTTTACCATCTTAACTTCTTTTTACTATAGCAGTACATCATACCAGTAAGAGAATTATAATAGTTTGCTATATTAAGACTTATTTATGCCTGAATATTAATTTATTGATTTGTGTCAACCATATTGATTTTAAAGAGCAGCAATGTACAAAGTATTTACAACAGTAATTAGCATTAGTTCTAAACATCACTTACTCTTGATCCTTTTTCTGGAAAGCACCGACAAACTGAACAATCCTGTCCTCCACATGGGTCAATATATGCATATCCTCCCTAAAAATTAAAAGTGTATGGATTTACCAATAAGCAACAGACAACAATCACTTCATCAAATATTGTCAACTGGTCATAATATTCAATTAGGTGATTTTGAAGCCAAAATACTTGGCTACCCTTGCATACCCACAGGGCGACTTCCTTCTGATAAAGAAACTTTGCATAGCAGCAAACATCAGAGTATTGTGTGGATCTTCAGCTTGACACATCTGAACCTTTTCCAATGTTTGCTTCATAAAATACACACATCAATACTACATTTAAAATGTAGTAAAATCCCAAACTTCTTGGATCTCTCATCAGCAGAAACATGCTGGCAAAGTAGAGGCCATAAGCAAAAGCTTACTACTGTTGCTGTACAAAGTGAAACATATTACCTGCAAGTTATGTTAAGTAATGCAAATATTACATCTAAAGACAGCTAAAGAAACAGGCTACATCTGGAAAAAATTTTAACAGAATCAGAATTTAATTTGTAATAACATGAAACATGTAACACACCACATTAGGGTAGGAGACTGTTTAGCAACAATTAGATGATAAAAGGCAAAACAGGTTGAAGAGCCACAAGCCCACTTAGCAATAAAGCCCTGTATCTAATTCTTGTCTATTAAATGAAAAGAGAAGCATGTGCATGCTGTAATTATGCATTGCCTACCACTAACTTACTTATTTCTTATTTTAAAACTTTCTGTCCTTGTCCTCTGAATAGCAAAGAAACAACTACTTTGTTTCATCAAATTGCTATAGGGGGAAAAAAGCATATTCAAGGAGACACAAAACCACACCAAGATGTGAATTAATTAGTTTTATTGTGTGGTAAGTGAATATGATTTTATTATTATTTTCTATTTCCCAAAGTGTAGTATTAAACATATACCATATAAACAAGTGTAGTAATAAACATATAAATGCACCATATGCATTTATAAATTCATGGTGAGTGGACGGTTGGAATGTCCACAAGGTGACATTATTTTCAGCAAAATTTTCTAAACTATTAAAGTAATTTCAAAAAAGGATGACTTAAAAGATTTAAGAATAATTTAGGTAAACAGGTCAACAGTGACAACCTGAAATTATTTGCTCAGGGTGGATCAAATTTTTATCAAGGTCAACATTGTTTTGTTACTGGTTTTAATAGCCAGCGGAACACTATAGGTTAATGCTTCAGTTTTTCAAGGAGAAAACACTGACAAATATAAGATAAGGAGCAAAAATTCTGTTTGTTCTTTCTATCTATAATATTTTAAGAATACCTGGTATTCCCAAAGCTCTGAACCAGAGGGTGTGATAGTCTTTCTCACAGACTGGATTTCTGATGAAATTACTTATCTACTCCACGCTAGTCTCTCACGTAGTTATTGAAAACTTGCCTCCACTGGAATGTCAGTGGAATGCAAGTTTATAATAACATGTAAGCTGTTACCCTTTGTTCTAATTGAACACATTCATTACATTTTCAACAGTTAACTAAAAAGGAATTACTTTGGGGGGAAATGATAAAAATAGCTTTTAAATACTTGAAAGAAACTAAGAGGATGGACTTGAAAGAAGTTCCACTGAGGGTAGTGCAAATATAAGGTTAGTATGGAGAACAGTACAGAGAGAAAAATAAAGTAGATATTGAGGCTATATTATCTGAAGTTTTGGCTTTAGAGAGATGGGAATTTACATCAGGAAGCCAGTTTAAGATCGAGGCTAATGTACAGAAAAGGGCTTGAAAGCTAGAGTTTGATATATGCTATAATGCAGAGCCACTGAAGGGAACTTTGTGAGAAAGGAGACAGATTCAGTGTACAAGAGAGGGGTTTTTTAAGTGCAGCTTTCCAAAGTATTTAAAGATGCTAAAGTTAGAATCTGGAAGAACCAAAGGAGAAAATTATAAAATAGTTAAGCTTAGCAAGTGAAACAGAAAGTTAGAACTGCAGAAACACTGAAAGAAATGTCACAGTTTTGCCACAGAACTATACATCATCTTGATGTATATAGTACTACTTATCTGAACCATATGATCCTATTGATCACCTGTTTAAAGTAAATATGAATGTCACTTACCCCATCAATCTCTTGTACTGAAAAAACAACTAGCAGCCACCTGATTTAAAAGAAGGAATAAGCTAAATTAAAACTAATTTTGCAACCTCCAACGTTCACAAGAATGTTGCCTCTAAAAAGTGAGAACTGTGTACACATAATTAAGTCCTATTTGGGGTTGGGATTATATAGTTAAAAGAATATATTTATAAGGGGTATGCACCATGAGGGAACGGTCAGAACATGCTATGTATTTGTCTTTTTGTATTTGTGAACAAAGACTAAATACAAACAGGTAGGCATGAATAAGACTATGTAAAAGCTCTTGTAACTCCCCCCTGATAACCTACTTCTAATCCCACAATTAAGAATGGCTAGAGGAACCATTACAGAAAAATTTCTCCATGGACACCATGGGGCGAAGATTGAGCAATGACAGAGATGACCTGCATCTGCCCCAAAATGAATTAGCTGGTGCTGTTTTTTTTTTCTCAGAGATAGAGTGAGAAAAGGCAGAGAGAAAAGCAGTACTCAAAATAGTCCCATGATTCCAGAGCAGCTGCTGGGGAAGCCAAGCTCCATGCCAACCTTTGCAAGTGATGGGTTATAAAGTTGAAATCATGTCTTTTATTATTTCTACATGCAAAAATAAAAATAAATAAGCTAAGTTAAAACAAAAAGGTAGCCCCAGGTCTCTGCAGCAATACAGGAAATAAGCATTATTATTAATTAATATTCATACAAACATTATTATTAATGAGAACTAAGGTGTCACTCATTATATGAAACGATATATTATATACGGCAATAACGTATAGACTACTGTGTGTTATTCCCCAAGCTATAGTGAAGCCTGTATCAAAATTACTCCAACCCTGCAAATACTGAAGCATTTAGTAACTTTTCCAAAGTCCTATTGAGATCAACCTCTGGTTTTGATTTGTTATTCACATGGTCAAGTCTTTGGAGCATGGAGAACTGTGCCAGCAAACCCACGATTACTCTCCCTGATTATTAATTGTTCATAGATACAAACTGCAAATTATATAACCTATATATATATATATAACCTACATATAAATTCAATACTGACAAATTTAACTTATCAATTTATGTACATTTATTCTATACACCTCTTAAACCTATGTTGTCAGCTACTTTTTTCGAATACACAAATTTTACAGAAACAAAATATTTATCAAAATAATTGCAGAACTGACGACAGAAGCTCATACTGTCTCTCGCTAAATGAGAAACAAAAGACTGATTAAACAATGGAAGATTGCCAGATGATCAGTTACAATACTAAATGGTGGGGGAATCTTGTGCATCCCAGTGATTCAGCCTTTAATCATCAAACAAGTTTGTGTAGAGAGGATTTAACTTCACAGGAACACTTAAATCAGGTAGCAGGAAATAGCATAGGTTTGTTCTTTTATTGTTACCTATTTAAGGCCATTTTTTCAGGCAGTCTCTGTAAATATATTTTCTCATGTCAACGTTGGCCAGGTGTGAGTTATTTTTCATTTAAGAAAATGCAAAGTTCTCATGAAGCCCTTGCACAACTGAAATGGAAATTTGATGATGCTGTTCTTGATGCGCAGCACCACAATCTCCCTTTTTTCCAGTCACATACGGCAGGCATAAGTTTGCCAGGTTGTTCTCTGTCACTTCAAAACCCCTGCCTCCTGAAGCTATATAGACATTGCCTAAATATTCAAACCAACACAATACTCTCAGAGGTAAGACATTAACAAACAATGCAGAAGAAAACAAAACCAGCAACCTTGGAGAGAGGGCTGGGATTGAAGGCTGCTACTTCAGGGAACACCTGACTAACAAGCAGCCTGGCTTTGCACAAACCAAATGAACATGAAAAAGATACTGGAGAGAGCTCAGGCATATTAGCACAATAGAAGACTGCCGAGCAGTGAGGGTGTCAGGTTCAACAAAGTAAATTTTCTGGGCCAGGTTCCCAGCTAGAAAAGCATAATTGCACATTCCTCAAGACCCCAGTGCTTGAAGAAGGAAAATAATTGGTATTTCCTGGACGACATTATCGAGAAGATCCCACACACCACACTCAAAATTCTGGGCAGCAGTGACCGTAATCTATACCTAAGGATCATTTTCCTCTACAAAGAGCTCCTGCCACAGCTGCTACCAGTCATTTCCATCACAGTCTCTGAAAGTTTTCCTCATGCCTTTTAATAATTGTCCCTCTTCCTCAAAATTATTGTGGGACAGGCATTCAGGTTTGAGTTGGTCATTATTTTTCTTCTCCAAATACATTCAGCATTAGAACATAGGAATATCTTTCCTCTTAAAACAGACTCAATCTTAGTTCCTCTTTGTTCCTAATTAAATAGTGTAATACTTGAAATTTAAACTGTGTAAACTTACAGACCAACAATCATAAGCAAATACAATAAATTATCATATAGGTTTATCAAATTTATGACAGGCTACAAACTATTTAACTGGTTATTTCTTGCTACTGTTAAATTGATAGCTAAGAATATATCTCAGTGACTAGTTAAAAAATTTAGTGACCTGTAAAACTCACCAGGCAGCTGTGAAAAGCCACTTAATCCATTCAAATGAATCCTTTGTAAATGCCATTCACGCTGATTGGGGATCTGTATGTACAGCACTTTTCTTTCTTTGATTTTTTTTTTTAACAGGTCTTCTCTTTCCTTCTGTTTGTGTATGGTCTATAAATACTGTTCCATACTGTTGTTTTCTCCTCTGAACCTGTTTATATTAAAATAGACATCTGATGTACAAACATGAATACTTAATATAACTAAAATATGTCTTAACCATTTATGTATGTCACACGGCACAGCTCTACATTGGCACCACATTATATAACTCCTATTCAGGCCACATTTTATCAGAAATCCAATTATTTCAAGGGAACTATATATGAAAGTACAGAGAAACATAAAAGGGTACAAGATTTCAGCCTAGAAAAAAGATAGTCTTCATTCGGTGTTTGAAATAATCAACAAATTGCGTCTTGCATTATTAGATACTTAGAAGTATCTTCTGCAAACTGGGCTGGACAAGTGTCTATGTGTACATCTGAGCAAAGGAGGACTACTCTGAATTCAGAATGAAGCCATTTGTACTTTCAGCTCAAGATTTCTATCCATATGCACGGATAGATGACAATCCTTGGAAATGTTACCTAGAATTTTTTAGATTTATTTTTAGAACATTTTTCAACAGCTTTTGCCAGGATTTAGAAAGCTGGAAGCCCTAAGTGTAAGACTGACCAGAGGCCTCTACAATCCCAGCCAATCGAATTTTGCATACATAAATTAACTACACAGTGCATCTGTGACCTCTGACTTGGGTCTAATAGCATATATGGAGTTTTGTGAGGAAACGTGGTGCACAAAACCTTGTGTAAGCTCAAAGCTTCACAAATCCACAGGAATGGCCTGCTCCTGTGCAAACTTTTACATCTACCAAATAGAAAAAAGGTGTAATCCTTTGGAATAAGGCATATCTGGCAAATGATTCACAATGGTTATTTCAAACAGAGGGCTTAAAAGGCTTTTCCCAGGCTAGCACAGATTATCACAGGATTTTATTTTTTCCCCAGATGTGGGGAGGTTAATTTTGAGGAGACTGAACACTAACTAGAGTGAACTGACAGGGGTTCATTTTCTTTGGAGAAGTTCTTCTTTGAAGAAGAACTTTCTTTACTTTCCTGAGTAAGCAAAGACTATCAGTTACTGAGAAGGGAGCAAAGACGTGACCTCCCTGCTCTCTGATAGCTGTTAAAAAACCAGCTATCTTTTCTTTGTAAAGCAAACGAGTGAACAGTTCCTGAAACATTACTGTCTTGTTTTCTGTTATTTAGACAGTGTAGCATATTTCTAACCAGAACTAATCTAGAAATAATAGTGACTTCTATATGTATGCAGAGGATATTCATATCCTGCAGTCTGAAGGAGAGACTTTGTAAGCTACTGTGTACTAACAAATAAATACCCTCAGGGCAGCCAATTTATGCTGCAAGATCACACCCCGCATGTACTGTACAGTAATCCATAGTGTGCCAAATTCTTAGTCTCTTTCTGTGCCCTAGTTAAAAAAAAAAAAAGAAAAAAAGAGAGAAAAAGGGAAAAGAAGAAAAAAACCCCAATACTCCCAATAATAAAATAATAACACACTCAATACCACCAAAGGAATAAAAGGAATAGACAAACACCACCAAACCTCAGCTCATAAAATCTTCAAAAGCCAGAGGGGTAAAAGCTGGCAATATAACATAACCTAGATGTTTAGTTTCTAGATATGAAGGAAGACAATTTCATTCTTAGGGATTCTGATAAGACTACAGGACATGAGCCATAGTTTGAGGCAGAGACACAGCTGCAGTTATCAAGTTGGAAAAAAAAAGAATAGAGCAGACCCAACTATATTCTCAGTTCATCTAAAGAAACCAACATCATATTTAACAAGGCCACTGAAGTTGCAAAGTCAAGAATTCAGTTCAGTAATAAAAAATAGGGTTGTGTACTCAATTTTAATGTAGTTCTTTTATGCATATGATTAGGATAGTCGGTTTCATTACAAGAATATATATATTGTTTTCCACAGGACTTCTGCCTCATACATGATGGACATATTCCATACTCTTTTCATCCTTTTCCTTAAGCCATATTTTTTTCTTTTACAGTGTCCTATGAAATTTTGCACTTTTTATTAAATTCATAGAACTTTAATGTTTCCCATAAAAGTACTACCTATTTATAAAAACAGAAAACACTGTTATCCTTGTTTTCCCATACAGTACTGAGGAAACAAAATTAAAGTTAAAATCATTAAATAGCAAATAGTGCAAAAAAAACCAAACCCTGGACTTCAATTTGTTGCAGCTTTCAACTGTTTTCTAGTATTAAGGTTGAACTCCCTGTTGTTCATGCACTAATGGTTTCTTTTGGTTTTGGGTTTTTTTATTCTTTTCTGTTTTTTTGGTTGGATTTTGTTTGTTTGTTTGGGGTGTGTTGGGGGCTTTTCTGTGGGTTTTTTTGTTTGTTTGTTTGTTTTGTTTTGTTATAGGTGGTTGGTTAGGTTTGGGTGGGGATTTTTGTTTGGTTTTATTTGGTTTTGGTTTTATTTGTTTCTGGGGGGATTGTTTGGAATTTTCTTCTTTTTTTAAAGTACCTCTACAGGCAGCTGCAGGTACACTTTTTGACAGAAGCCTGCCTTGCCAGCTGGTGTGTCAAGTAAGACCATCTCTCTAAAGTTTGTAGCTCTCTGAAGGCACTACAGACTGCAACAGTATCAGCAACACAGTCTGCATCAGGGTTTTATAGACTTTTTTTGGATGGATGCCATCAGTTATGGTAATAACGAGCAGGAGAGAGAATATCAGTGGCTGATCTTACTTTTATTCTACCTCTATGCTGTGAAGTAATGTATCTGTCCTAGAACCTCACATTAAAGGCATATATGCTTTTAAGTGATTGTCTCATAATGCAACATTACTTGCTGTTTCTTAACTGTAAAACACGTAACTACTATCAGACTGGGCTGCACTACATAGCAGCCAGCTGGTCAAGGTCAATGAAACAGGTGGCACTAGGATAAAACTGGGCTCAAAGAGGTCTTCCTTTAGAAGATGTGTCTTTCTGTGTCATCCCCCTTGTTAGCATTTTCTGGTATTTGTTTCGAGCTTGATGGCTTCTTTTTATTTTGAAATTTCTGTACAGAGTTTTCACCATTTGAAACTGACTCAATATATTTCTATTACAGCAGTAGTCCATTCACTAACTGTTCATTCACTAATTCATTCTGTCTCCTAACAGTGGTCTGCCTGCTTTCTTCCAATATTTTTTTTTTTGCCTAGTATTCAAGAGCTCTCCTTTTAAGTTCTGTCTTCTTTATTGAGACTCATTGTTAATTCGGCATCTAAATTTGAATTATTTCTGAGGACTGACCACTTTCTTCCACTGTAGTCTTGCTTCCTCTGACCTTTTCTCATAGAAGCCTGCACCTTTTGTTTTCACTTTTGTATAAATGAGTGTCTGCTACCTTCTGTCTATCTCCAGTTCTTCTAATGTTAAATTTCAGAGGTGGATTTAGGTACTTGTAATTTATAGGTGTTACGGCTTATACAACAACTGTAGACCTCATTTTTGTCCTCATTACAGTATTCCTGTGTAAAAAAATGTAGCACTGTTATAGTCAACAGGTTTAGGAATCTGACAAATAAAATCCATCTGTTGAGCAGTAACCCTAAGACACTATTCTATATGCTCACCATCAATCTGGCTTGAAAACGGGATATTTTTCACCTTTTGTACATTGCTGTCTACCCCAACTTTCTCTCACTTATACTTGAGATTTTAGAGACAAGGTGATAACATCTGTGATGATGTACAGGATCTTTGATGCTGAACACATTGTTCTGCTCTTCCAGAGATGTGTTCCTGTTGCTAGTACTAAACTAGTAGAGATCCAGCACTGCTCTCATGCCTGTAAGACAAGCTGTTTTACAAAGTTCTGTGGTTAGCTTTATACCTGCTAAAGGCTTTAGGTCTGTACCACATGAGTAGTCCTGGATAGATTTCTATACATATATTATTGTATATTGTTGTTTTTTCCGTATTGCTACTAGTGCTTAATATAAACCTGTAACGTAGGATTTCCGGTCCAGCACTCACAAACGCTGCAGATAAGGTAAGATCACTGCGGCCAGACTGGCCAACATACTTTTTAAGTTTGCACCATCTCAGAGCAGCTCTTTATTTGGTGCGGTGTTACCTTGACCATGCAGTGCTTTTGTCAGTAACATAAATGTGCTAAACTTTACATACTGCCAACAATTTGCAAATCACACTTTCATTCACAAAACTTTTATATCATGCTAAACTATGTGGAAAGCCCGGGCAGAAACATTTCTCACTGATTTACATTTATGTAGTGGACAGCACTTTGTCCCTTCTGGGACTTCTTGGTCTCTGCAGTCTCATCAAGAAAAACTTGATGGAGAGAGCGCTGCTGAAAAGAAAACACTCTTGTCAGTGCCCGGGCTCGCCCCGGGCAGAGGCGGGATGGCGCTGAGGGCCCTGGATGCCGCCGCCTTTCCCCGGTGCCGCCTCGCTCCCTCCCCGGTTTAACCGGCCCCTTCTCCCGCCGGGGCGCTGCAGATGATCCCGCTTCGGGCTGGCACAGGCCATGCCCTGTCTTGGCCGGTGTCCGTGGCTGGCCCGGACGGGTCCCAGCTCCCACCGCGCAGCCCCGCGGTCTCTCGGATGGCGCCCACTACCTGCGCCTTCACGGTCACGGCGACGCGGCAGAAGCAAGCGCAGCACGGAGACAGCCTAGTAACCTGGGACGCCTCCAGCTGTCCTGGGACGGGGCTGGCCCCTCAGCAAGCTGCCCGGCCCCGGCAGGCGCCGAGGCCAGGCGAGGACGGCCTGTCATGAGCGCCAGGTACCGCCGCCCGGGGCTGCCCCTCCGCAGCGCTCACCTCAGCTCCCAGGCGGGAAAGCCCCCGGCTCCTCTCTCACTCCACACCCACTGAGAACGGACGGACGGACGGACAGCGGCTTGCCGGTGTTGCCCAAGGAAAAAGGCGCACAGAGCCAAGAGTTCAGGACAGGAGAGAAGACGAGAGGGGAGGAGGGGGGTGGCCCAGCCGGCCCCGCCCCGGCCATCCCCAGCCTCTGTCCCCACCCCAGGTCGCTGGGAGCACCGAGGAGGGTGCGAAGCAGCAGCCCCCAGGCCAAAAGC